TCTCTCCTAAAATGGACTGGTTTCGTAGTCCAGTTGTAGTAAATGCGACTGCCAATAGCAATGATAGGAGTCTTTCAAAATGTTAATTGGATTTTTTGGTTATATTCTGACTTCAGCTTCAGCCAGTTATATACTATATTATGTTAATGTCTATGTTGAGCCAAACACTTTTTTAAATGTCGCCCCACAGTACTATATTCTCCTGTGTTGTGGGTACGTTTACAAACATACAAGTTCATATACACTTGACACCTAGATCCGGAACAACAATCTGTTGATCACACACAGAGTTGCTCCGTACGGGAATGGAATCCGCGACACGTTGCGCGGCAGCCGGTTGCCTAGCCACCGCACCAACCGTGCTGTCATTAAAATCCTTCCACGCGCAGCAAATGCTTTCTAACGGAAAAGAGATACGAACATATATACACAAGCATAAATCCTCTTTATATTATTACTTAAAATGAATTGAATTCCTTTACAATATTAATTCTATTGATAACATGAGTGATGCCAATTATTAATGGTGGAAAATTACTCAAATTAGTATGAGACGACTCTACGTGTGCATTTTAGGCCTCATATAATAATTATATGTACTGTGTAATGAAAACATATAACTTTGATTAGCATTATTGTATGAGAAATCAAATAATCATCAAGTGATTTAGCCAATTAACCATTCTTGCCTCTTTTAAATTACAATACTAAATAACTGTAGAAAAAAAAATCCTCGAAAAAACATGAAGCTCCCACTAGGTGTTCTGTTGTTCACACACGCTGCATTTGTGTCTAATGTTTCTGCCGAGCTTACGCGCATCTCACCGGATGGTAACTTCTTTTATTTGTTTCAACTAAAATTTTATGTACATATTACCAGATTGACCAGCTACCTAATATCATTTGACAAACATTCTGTGTTAATAACTGCCATTTTAATTATTAGCCACAGTACCCAACAAGCAGAATAAACCCCAGTGTCTGCAACACTGATCAGGGATCGGCCCTACTGGGTCCGATCTGTGGTGATTTGACGGCACGCGCAGAATACGACGCGACGTACGCTCAAGTCTTGGTTTGATTGGGTGCCAAGCTACCCTTGCTCGCCGTCCGCGCAGACCCGCACTACGGTAGCCGGAGATCGTTGCCCAATACTCGACTCCCGGATTGTCTCTTGCGGCGGCTGGGTCCTGAGGAGAATTTCCTCGTCACGCAATTCGTCTCCTTCTTAAACTTAGACATTTTAAATACCTATTGAATTTGAATAGTTGGCACTTTTTTTCGTACTATTAAAAACAACAGTTTTCTATGAATTTTGTATGAGATTGTGTATTGTGACGTTACGCTTTTTTAGAGTCCAGCTAAAAATAAGTTTGTCATAAAATCAATTAATGAAAGTGTGATTAATTTTTAATATTTTATTGTATTGAACAGGCCAAATAACTTATTTTTGATTATGGAAAGTACCCAATTCAGAATTCTTACTTTTCTATAGTTTCAAATTCGAAAAACCAACCAACCAACCAAACAATACCAAAAATAAATTATGCTAAATTTTACGTTTTGGAGAAATTATCGTATGAGTATTCGATATTCATGATATAGATAAGGTAACTCTTAAATCCTAACTTGATAATATAAATGAGAAAGTAAGTTTATTTGTTTGTTATCTCTTTACGTTTTATCTACTTAAAGAATCATTTTGAACTTTGCATACTTATAGGTAGGTACTAAAATCACGTGAACAAAATCTTAGTACACTGAATAAAGCATAGAAAACCCCAAAGTTCCGAAGCAATTTGACATTGTAAGGTCAAATTCCTAAAACTAGACAATATTTGCTAGACAAAGTGTATGCTCACAATATTTTTAGGAGGCAATAGGGTAAGGGACAAATATTTAGTCAGTCTGCCCCGAAATTTTATAAAAAGAAAATTTTAAGAACATTTTTGTTTTTGTTTATAATAATTCTAAAGTGCTGTTTAACATTTTTGCTTGTGCTTACCTAACAGGGTGATGATAGAAAGGAGGGTGTAAATTTTTTCGTGTGGACGTACAAACAAGTCATAGTTTTTATAATTGAAAGAAGGAAATAAAGAAAGAAAAACAGTTTTTTTGTGCCGTAACAAAAATTAAAAAAAAAGTCTTATTCAGACACATCACAACTAATTTCTGTTTCAGACCAACATTGCAGTTCAGACGATGATTGCGCCGTCAACTTTAGTTGTCACGAATTTACTCGTGAATGCTACTATTCACCTAAGTACCATGTAACTATTAAGCATAAATAAGTGCCAAACAAGAAATGGAACTCTTTAGGGATTCGGGATCAGAAAATTAAATAAAATGTTTTTAAAAAACAAATAAATGTGTGATAAAAGTACCATGGCGTTCATTAATCCCAATTTGCTTTACTTTGCAGACACCTTGTAGTGTAATAGTAATAGAACCTAGACAGAATAAATCTCGACTAACGAGACATTTTGAACAAATGTCAGTCAGATAAATAAACAAAAGTGTGAGAGAGGTATGCTTCGGCACGAATGGGGAGTGATTCCACGGCGTCACAGAAAACCGAAGTGAAACAACGTGCTTGTGATGTGTTTCATCGTTGGAGTGAATATCCAATGAAGGACATTATAGAATCATTAAATAAGAAATATCTCAACCAAAATAATCAATATCATTAATTAAATCGCGACGTTTGACCACTATCTCACCTGATGGTAAGTGATGATGCGGTCTACGATGGAGCACGTTGTCCCATAAGCAACCTATTCACTCGGGCCTTGAAGACTCCCAGGTTATAATACCCTTCAGGAAATACAGACTCTGGCAAAGAATTCCACTCTTTCGCAGTACGCACAAGGAAGCTTGAAGCGAAGCGCTTCGTGCGTGTGGGCGGAACATCTACCATGAATCGGTGACGCTTCGCCGATTGTCTTGTGGTACGATGATGGAAAGGACTAGGGGGAATCAATTTGTGCAATTGGTTTCCAAGGAAAGCACAACTTACATTTATGGAATAAAATAAACCTTCAATTCTTAAGTACTTAAAGTTCTGAATCATAATCATAGCTTAACTTATAATTCATTTATGATGACAAAGTGAAACAAGTACAGCCAAACAAAAATATTTAATTGAATATAACAATTGTAATAACACATGTATTATTATTGTTTTCATTATTTAGTAGTAATAATCGCTGGTTAAGCCTAAGCCTCTTCTAAAACATCTGCAGATGGATTCGACACAATTGCACATGTCTGGGCAATCAGAGTCTCTACGGCAGATCTGTCCCGCTGTAAAATATTAATAATGTAAAAATAAAAATTACTATTTACTGTATACGGTCTACATCGCTTATTAAGATATTTTTTTTGCATTTTACTTATAAAGATTATTATTTATTTACTATCTAAAAAATGGTAAAGTGACGGCAAGAAGAACTTTTTTGAGGGGGACAATTATCAAAACACTTCTCCCTCCTCAGGTGAGGCCAAAAAGAAACCATCCCGATCCTAATCCTGCTTCGAACCAGAGCCATTTACATTTCCAGCATGCAAAACCGAAGACAGCATGGAGAAGTATATTTGAGTTTAACAATAATTAATTAATTAATTCTTCAAGTGCTACAAAGGGTCCCTAGCTTCGAGCATAGTTCGTTCAGCTAATGGTGTTCAGTAGTCTCGGCATTGTCTGTTAGTGTGTTGGTCGCATACTCAGTAACAGAATAGTTTTATATTTATATGTATAGACAGACTTAGATTAATTTACAGCAATCACAGTAGCTAAACTGTTCAAAAGCATGATTGCTAAGTAGATCATTCTACTTTTGATGTTCTCAGCACCGCGACGACAGTACCGATACTTTGATCTTGGACGTTGAGACGGTGCAATTATTTTTTTTATACAGTTACACCATATATCTCCGAAGGCGTAGGCGGAAGTGCACATAAAGACACATGATGTCTTTACACAATACTCCCACTTTTCACCAGGTATGGTATGAGTCCCATATAATAAATGAAGAGTCTATTGCCATATACCGGACACAATTCAAAAATCCGTGCTGTTACTAAGAATTCTCCAAAAAAGCGCAAAAGAACAAAAAATCTCTACTGGCCCTAGAATCTTCTCTATAACCCACAGCAGTAGTACTTGTAACCACTCGACCAATGAGCCAGATGCATTTGAAATGTGTATTCTTACTCTATAACGAATAAATAGTTACCACGGCGGCCATCGACCAAAATCTGGACTCCGTCAGTAGCGACGTCAGTCACAAACATGGCGAGAGCGAATAATAGAGCAACTTGTAGGAACTTCATGATGACTTCAAGACTTCTTGGAGTGTTGTATGAATTTGTGATGTTTTTCAACTATTTATACAAGAATAAAGCAGAACTAGTTACTGAAAATTGATTTATAGCTGAGCTTCGTTACAATATTGTTATAATAATATTCAATACACTTTAGAAATTAAGATTTTTCAATCGATTTCTCACATAATAATTGTCATTGCACTAGTATTTTACCTCTAACTACCTTATTAGTTTCATCGTAATAAGGTTAAAAAATTGGAATATTGTTACTTTGTATTCGATATTGTATGTTATTATATTCCATATTTATTTACTTGATAGTACATTTTAAAACACTTTCTACAAAAACGTATTGTTACTAACCGGTAAACAGATGCCACATAGGTTCTTAGATTTTAGTTAGGCGTTTGATATGATGTTACGCATAGGGTACTTGTCTAAGATATTGTAAGGTACTTTTAGTATACTGGTTTTATTCATGATTTGGCTTCTCTTACTTTTCGAAACAGATCACTTTGGTAGTAAACCAATATTACAAGAAACTTATAAAATAACTTTTGGCGTACCGCTGGGTTCCATCTTCGGCTCTGTATATCTGTTATGGTCTATCAAATTGTATGTGGTCACGAGTATACTTAAACACAATGTTATTAAACCTATTATCTTATACTTATTTACAAAAAGTTGGCAACATCATATTATATAATATATGTATATGTCTGTTACTTTTATTTTCTCGTTATGTTACTATAACGACGTCTTTATCTCAAAAGTGAATAAAATTATCGATTTAAATCAGTCCATTTTATCCACACATTCTTATAAATCCTTATCTAAATATATTATTCATATTGAATTATTGTAAATATATTATATATTATTAATAATTATAGTTTATAATCGCCAACCCGCAATGAGCAAGCGTGGTGATTAATGCTCAAACCTTCTCAGTGTGAGAAGAGGCTTTGCTCAGCAGTGGGCATTTATAGGCTGTTGATGATGATAATGTTGATGACAAACAACAATATTAAACAATGTTATTTTTTGCATATCCAGCACTTGAAGTTGCTCCAAGGTAACAATCTGGACAAGGGTCGTCAGTAGTACGCCAAGATTTACCTGGGAATTAAATGCAATAAAATTTAGATAATTATTTATTTATGTGCCTATTTTATTCAACTTTTTTGACGAAGCATACGAAGCCTGTGTAGTCAGAAATCGTTGCGCTTAACGGAATTTATTTTTGAGGGGGGAACCATCAAATGCCTTGTCCCGCATTGGGTGAGATGAGATGAGAGTGAGTGCTAGATTTTTACTGACCAAAATCCACCGCGTTCCTACTCCAGTTTCGAGCAAGACCCCTACCCCGGTAATAGGGAATCCGCTGCGGTGTCTTGGGAATCGTAGTTAGGTCCCTAAATGTTTTAAGTATGGTTTTACGACAAATAATTTTATATTACCGGGGCAGCCGTCCGCATTGACTAAAACCTGAACTATGCCAGCAACGTTATTCAGAACCACGGGAGTGCAAACAAGAGAGCAACTTGTAGGAACCTTATGTTGTCTTCAATACTTCTTGTGTATGTTATATGAATGTTATATGAATTTGTGACATTTTACAACTATTTATAAGACTAAGTTATATATGATTTAATTTAGGTCATCAACATTATTGCTTAGTAATTGAAGGTGGCATACTTATTGTTAAATTTTCCACACTGTAGGGATAAATAAGTAAGTAACTGAGTACCTTTTAATGCCAATGGAAATCGACCCTCGATTTCCATTGGCATTAAAGAGAGGCATTCCATTGGCAGCGACCACGTACTTATCGACCATATTCGTTAGCCCATGGCATAATCGGAATCAAAATATAATACTATTCTCAGTACATCAACAATACGTCATGCGTCCTTCACGCCCTGATCTAAGTAGTAGGTAAAGGTTGTGCACAGTACACATAAACAATGTAACATGCATTTTTCACCAAATATATTATGGGTCCTATGTCATTATCCTATGTATTAAAGGATGAGCCTATCACCACGCCCAAACACAGATCCTAACTACTAAGGAGCAGGAAGAACCAAATAATAATTTGGCCAGTAAAATGTATGTACATTTGCTTATTATTTATCGACCACTCAACCGACGGAGCAGATTTAGTACATTCATGATCTATTCAACATCATTATCAGCAACATGTATCTGTACCAATGCTGAAAAAGGCCTCTTTCCACACGGAGAAGGAATGAGCATGAGTTACCACGCTTGCTCAATGCAGTTTGATGATTCCAAAATTATCATTTCAATTTATATGTCCTGGTTTTGTATACCACTGATGTCATAATGAACTTAGAAAGCACCTTATAACTTGGAAAACTCACATTGATGCTTGCCAGGTTTCGAATTCACACCGTCAAGCTCGAGAAGCTAGCACCTTAACCATCAGGTTACCTCAACTGTAATTTATCCTAAACTGTATAAATAATCCATTTCAGCTGGTTATTGTAATATACTTAGATCTGGTAATAAAATGTAGCCAATTAACCTATTTAAATTATATTAACGCTATGATATATTTATTATTTTCGATCAGTATGAGGTCTGTGATGGAGGAAAATCAACCTTATTGATATGAAATCGAAAGGTGCTTAGTAACGTATGTACTAACGTAACTAATTACCATTTTATTTGGTGTAGAAAGTTGAATAATAATCGACCTTCAAATAATAAACAATATTATCGTCACACTAATATAAATTAACCATTAGTAACTGATTGATATATTTCTGTATAAATAGTTGGGAAATAGTACAAATTCGTATAGCGCTTCAAGAAGTCATCAAGTCATCATGAAGTTCCTACAAGTAGCTCTTATTTTTGCACTCGCCGTGATTGTGACTGGCGTCACACATTCCTCACGATTTAAGGAATCAGATCTGGTCCAATCAAGTTCAGATCAGGTTAGGGTCAACATGGTCACCAAACTCGGTAATTTTTTGTTCATATATCCTTAATTGCATATATACATATAATACCGGAGATCGAAGGCATTTTTTATATTTTTGTTCATCTATGATTCCCAGCTCACTTCTCCGGTCTTCCACGATTCTCAATCAATTGTTGACAAATTATTTTTATTTAGTATAACTGGGTTTTTAAAAATCTCAGTAGTAGCACGGAGTCTGAAAATGTGCACGGTATATGGCAATAGGCTCACCCCTATTACATGGGACTCAAATCATAAATAGTGAAAAGTGGGTGTTACATTGTATAGTGGCATAATGTGTGTGTGTGATGTTATGTAGATATTTGGTTTAGAGTGATTTTATTCTATAGTAATGAATGTGATGATATTTCTAATCTTTTCATTCAAACTAGGAATTCCTCGTAAAGGTGTGTCGTGTACGACACTTCTTAGCAAGCGTAATTGTTCAACAAAGTCTTTACTTCGGAGTTTTAAAGTAGTAAATAAACAGTAAATGTGCTTAAATTATATTCCTGCATTTAATCCACAGCCGGTTCCTGCACTGCTGACTCTGATTGTCCAGACGAGTGCCATTGTATCGACCAAACGTGCCAATGCTTCTCTTATGACAACGAGCGTATGTATTAAAATATTGACAAATAAAATAACTAACGTCAAGTCCCTAAAACCAAAATACCTAATGAGTGTTCATATGATTTAAACTATCGAAATTTTGAAATGATAACCGATTGTAATTACGGATGTACGAAGTCCCTAAAATTGATTTACCTCACGTTTAATTGACTGGAATGGAAAATATTTATACTACGACCTATGTAAATACTAAGCGTAATAAACCTAATTATAAATAAAAAGTTCAAATAATGCAGCAATTTTAGTACAGCCTCTTTACTCAACGCTGTCATCTTTTTTATCTTTATCTGGTTTTTATTCTAATACAATGTTTAAATATGCAATGTTTAAATATTGTCAGTCAGTTGTTTCTAAGAGTAGAAGGGTTTTTAAAGGATTTTTGTTTGGGTACAACGCCAACATACAAACTCACAGATTAAGATTTTTTTAGTATCAGAGACACATGGAGCATGTACACTATCAATATCTGACTTGCTCGACCACTGAAACAAAAGTCACGAGTATCAATTTAAAAGATCTGTGAATTCCCCCTTCCTCCACCTGCAGAAACAAATGCCACTATACTATATTCATAATCTAGTAACTATGACGCTCGAGTAAATTCAAATTTAGTGTCGTGGATATAGCAATAGAGTCATATAGCAATATTTAATTTTATGTACCTTAGCCATTAAATGAAACAAACGTGATTCCTTCCTTACTTATTCTAAGATATAAGGTAATATATAAACAGTATATGTACTTAAATTCTGCATTTTATTCATAGTGGCGCCCTGCCAAGTCGACAGTGACTGTCCAGACCTCTGCCATTGTATCAACCTACAATGCGGATGTTTTTTAGATGACAATGGAGATGTAACAAAATATAAGAAATATAGTGTGAAACAAGATGACAAAGATCTGAAACAAGATGATAAAGATCTGAAACAAGATGAAAAGAAAGATCTGAAGAATCGTGACAGGAGATCCCTGAAGCAAGATGAGAGGAAATCTGTGAATCAAGATGAGAGGAGATCTGTGTATCAAAATGACAGGAGATCTGTTAAACAAAATGACAGGAGATCTGTGAATCAAGATGACAGGAGATCTGTTAGTCAATACGACAAAACTTCGAAACAAAATGACAAGAAGAAGGTGTCTTCGACTGATTAACTACCAGATAATTAATGGCAAATACAAGATGATAAAAAATAACACTGTTTAGAAATAAATATCATTGTGTGAAATAAAATTTAATTAACTAGATTCTTGCCTTTTTATGCTTTTTTTTTCTCTCTTTTTAAATTACATGGTTCTCAGTTCATGGCTCGTGGTACTTTGGAGGTCAATAAGAACACCTTAAGGAAAAGTTCATGATACATAAGCTTTAACACAAAGGGCATTCAGGCAACGTAAATAAAGGCCAGAAGCCAGTAGTGTCATAGAGGTTCTGAAATACCTCCGTCACGGTCACCGCAATCCGCCTTGATCAACCGGGCTGGCGATTTGATCAAGTGTGGTGATTAATACTCATTCCTTCTCCATGTGAGGTTTGACAAATGTCCTCATTCATGGAATGTGGTCCTCCATTTAGCCCACTCAACTCCGTACTTTAGGCACTGTACGGCGTTGACTACTTATTGGCAATGGGTCGGCGTTGACTACTCATTGGCAATGGGTCGGCGTTTGGCCACTGTCTCGTTTGATAGTAAGCGATGATGCGGCACAAATAAAACAAAAATCTTTCTAGCACTTAACCTCATTTGTCCTCAATAACTCGTGAGTGACCTTCATCCTTAAACCTCCATACCTTTCGTTCCAATTGATTACCATGAAAATATAAAACATTGAAATAATAATACTTATTGCTTATTTTGTTCACGCTCAGATTGAATGGTATTTGATGCTATGTAACCTTAATATATCTATATATCATGGCGGAATGGCAGCAACGACTGTCGCAACCGAGGGCTGGGCTCGCTGCCATTGCAGCGGTAAGTCCCCTCTTTGAGGAGTGGCTTGAGAGACGCTACGGCGTCCTCACCTACCGCCTGACGCAGGTCCTCACCGGACATGGAAGTTTCGGGAGGTACCTGTGTCTGATGGGGCGGGAGGAAACGCCCGGATGTCATCACTGCGAGGACCACCCTGAGGACACGGTGGAACACACTGTTGCGGAATGCCCTGCGTGGGCTGAGCACCGCCGTGCCCTCAGGGAAGTGATCGGCGATGGAGACCTCTCGCGTCCGGGCCTAGTTCAGGCCATGATGCGGAGCGAGGGGGACTGGGATGCCGTCTCCTCCTTTTGCGAAGCAGTCATGCTGGCTAAGGAGGAGGCGGGACGCGTGAGGCAGCGAAGCGCTGCCTCCTCGCAACCCAGCCATCGCGAAGGACACACCGGGCGTCAGGGATCGCGGGACGATCTCCGGCCACCGTAAGCGCGGCGAGCATGGGTGGCTCCCCGTCCGACCAGAAACAGACCCGAGCGTACGGCGCGTCGCGTTCCGCGCGCGCCTCAAAGAGCCATCAGACCACCACAGATGGGGCCCAACAGGGCCGATGCCGATTCGGAGTCGCGGAGAACCTAACGGGTAACCGGGGCTCCGGCTCGACGTGCAGGAGAAGGAACGGGGTGGTTTTTAGTCAGTAAGAGTCTGACACTCCCTTCCGCCTCACCCAGGCGGGAGCAGTCATTCGATGATTTTCCACCCTAAAAAAAAAAAAAAAAAAAAAAAAAAATCTATATATATATTGAAAAAACGCATCGGATTTAACAAACGGGCTTGCTACTTATAATATAACGTACCTACGTATAACGCTTGTATTGTGTTCCGCAGTGAAATGAAGTTACCATTGCGGTGGGCTAATTTTCGTGAGAAATCGGTAACACACTTATAACGACGGAGTAACGTATCGTACGGTGTGATGATTATTTAACCTGTCTCATAAAAAAATATTCTATTTATTACACCGAGCGTTGTAGTATTATAGTAGTTGAATTGTGAAAAGCGACCTTTTTTTGATGAAGGGGGAAACCTTCAAAAGGCGCATTTTTTTAGGGAGATCGACACCTCAAACCTAGTCTAGTTAGTTTTTTACCATTCGTAGTTGCATTGCATCCGATGGTGCGAGGCAACAAACTGGTGAAAGATATTAAAAAAATAAAAGACGAACGTGTTGATGTTATGTTTATACAACATCTTGTTATACAACATTTAATACATTTTAGGTCTCTCAGTTTTTACAGTGGGTTACTCTCCAGACTTCGCAAGTAGCGGTGGTGGGAATGTAGGCAAACATATACAATGAAGGAAGTGATCGTGACCAATGTCGCAGATACAGTCGTCGCCAGGGCAGTCGTTGTCCGTGTAGCAATCATGGGGCCAAACTGTAACATTAGGTAAAAATAATCTACTATAATATAATAATTAATTGCTAAATGTGTTGCTAAGCGCATATCTCGAGAACAGCTGAACCGATTACGTTAAATCTTTTTTTTTGGATTTGTTATTGTTAACAAAATGTTCTTGTGTAAGAAAAAAGATGCCAAAGATACGAAAAAAATTTTTTAAGGTCAAACAAAGTTTGCGGGTCCACTAGTTATGAACATAAAGCTGCATTACTTTAAACCACTCCTTTTTCCTAACGATGGACAATTCTCAAAAGACTAAATCAGGCGAGAGGGAAAGTCATAATCTTACTGACTACCTTAAGGAATACAATCTACCCATTCACTTTGAATTTACTACATCGATTATAATTCCATTCACCTCAGCAAATTTTTCAAAGGGGCATTACTTTATTACCGTCACTATATTCAGCCTATAACTTTCCCACTGTTGAAAAAAGGCCTCTTCTCTTACGAAGAAGGAATAAATATTCATCACCACGATGCCTCAAGGATTGGTAATATTGACACAAGCAGACAAATCGCCTGATGGTAAGCGATCAGCGCCGCTCGTGGGCAACACTTGAGGAGTCACATACAGGTGCGTTGCCGGCATTTTCTTGAAGGTTAGTCCAGATTTCTTCAGGATATGCATGTACCTTAGAGAATAAATTACTCACATGGTTTGTTTGCAGGGAATAAGTTAAAAGCGGCTATGTTAGACACTGCCACCGCGGTGAACAAGAGAATGGCTAGCAAACACCTCATGATGAACTGTAACAAATACTAGCTAAAGAAATTTTTGCATGCCACCGTTATATATAAGTTGAGATAAATATTTTCATTATGAACAAAATCAATTGATTTGAAACGCATCTTACGGAGATGATTAAAATTTAAATCAATATTAAAAGTGTAATGCCTCGTGGTTTCTGATTATTTTTCCGTTTGACGCATTTCGTAAGAAAACTACGTCACATAATCCGTCAGTTAGACAAAAAGACACTTGATCAGACATTGTGCAACATGCCTTAATTTTAGGGTAACAGTTTTACCATGTTGCAAGTAAGGCTGGTTTTAGTCTCACGCTGACGGCACGCGCACCGTCAGCGCTAATGGCCCGAGTTATACGAACTTGGTGGTCGAGTTATATGAGCTACGCGTCATTCAAAACACGTTTCCTAGAAGTTCATAATATCTCGTCCCATAAGCGCCAAAGGTGCGCGTGTCGTCAGCGCGACACTAAAACCACCATAAGGTTGGAAATTTGTTATGCACTGCGGCCCATTCTATACAGCAGTAATTGGAAAATGGGATAGTTATTAGTCAGGTTAAAATCTTACTGACTTAAAGCCAGTCCCTTAAAGCCAGTACCGCCTCAACCGAGACTTGAGATCTCATTTGACGAAATTCGATCGGTACAGAAAAGACTAGCATTAGAGAAGAGACTATGAGTTATGAGTCGGAAACATGCTGACATTTTTAACATATCTTTTTTTTATGGCATAAGCCGGTAAACGAGTAGACGGATCACCTGATGGTAAGCAATCGGCGTCGCCCATGGACACCTGGAACACCAGAGGCGTCACAGGTGCGTTACTGGCCTTTTGGGGATTAGGAGTTTGAGGATCGTTGGGAATTCAGGAATTGGGGAAATTGGGGAAAGGGGGGGTAATTGGGCCTCCGGTAACCTCACTCACACAACGAAACACAAAGCAAGCGTTGCTTCACGTCGGTTTTCTGTGAGGCCGTAGTATCACTCCGGTCGAGCTGGCCCATTCGTGCCGAAGCATGGCTCTCCCACACTTATTACTATCTAAATATTGTATCCACTTCTCACAGAAAATATGTATTAGTTTTTTGCCAAAAGTACTTGATTGTTTAAATTCAATTATAAGGCTTTGGTTCTGAACGGAAACGGAGCCATGTTTTAATTAAAATACTTCACAATTAATGGAACAATGCCAGCCAATGTAACAACGATACTTGTTTCTCGTACAGAGTAGGTACATACACGTTCCTATTAGCAGTTTTCTTATTTAGATTATTATTGTTTTAATTTTAAAGCCGTATGTTAGTTGTTATATTTCACTAGTGAAAACAAAATTCGATGTTTATTACGGAAGGTATCTTATAGTCAAATACCCAAACGACACTCAATTTGAAGACGCTCTCACGAATATTTCTGTCCGTACTATAACTTTCGTGAGACACACTAAATAAATAATTATATTTTCGGCTTCCTCACGTAATTATTTGACGAGGAACTCGACTAGTGAAACTAGCCATGCCAGTCGAGTCGGTCGATTGGCATGGCCATATACCGGGCACAATTCCAGACTCCGTGCTACTACTAAGATTTTTTTTAAACCCAGTAATACTTTGCCCGACCCGGGAATCGAACCCGAGACCCCTTGCCCAGCAGTCGCATTTGCGACCACTCGGCCAACGAGGCAGTCACACATACGAGGCATACACTATCTACTACCCTATTAATAGTGCAAGTAGTAAATGCTTTTTATAACCACACCGAAGTGAATCAACAAAAATGTATATGTATGTGAAAAAATTCCAAAGTTCACAAATGATCAATTTCATACCGTTTGCTCGGCCATGAGGACACGGCCGACGAAATCAATAGCCCAGAAAATTCATGTACCGCGAAATATTTTCGGGGCAAAATTCCGTCCATTTTTCGCATCAAATCGAAGCAGCTAATGGATAGTATCGTATTATCGAAGTCTTCAACAAAATATTTTTTTCCACGACAATCCTAAGGTCTCCGGGAATTTCTACAAAATATGTATCAAGGTCGCGGTATCGAATATAATAATATTACATGAACGTTTATTGAAATCAATGTTTATTGAGATTCTTATTTATGAAGCCGTATCTGCGTATCGAATTTTCTAGAAGTTGGTTTGTTAGAAAACAGGCGAAAGAGTTTTCGCAGCTAAATTGATCGATCAATTCTATAAGACTGCGATAAAATCAACATTATAACTATGACAAACAAATTAAGTATAATATAAAGTTTTTATCTGAAAAAAGCCCTTACGAAATACTAACAAAATTTGACATCAACGACCAGTATTTGACGAAAAATTAAACTTATGAAATCATCAGTTTTAACTTATCTTGACGTTTTTTTTATGGCATAAGCCGATAAACGAGCAGACGGATCACCTGATGGTAAGCAATCGGCGTCGCCTATGGACACCTGGAACACCAGAGGCGTTACAAGTGCGTTACGTTTACTTTTGGGGATTAGGAGTTTGATGATCGATACGTCTAAAGAAATTCTTAACCTACATAATATAAATAGGTAATCAAGTTACACTCAAAAAATAATTTAAATAAAACACAGCTATCACAAAAGGAAACCTCAGCAAAAACACGTCTTATTACAATTGCCAACGATGTACAAAATGGGTCTTACTACTCGAAAAAAAAAAACAAAACGCAGGTTTTCCGTAAGTGCTCGGTAAAAAAACAGCAGAAGAAATAAAGCGATAGTTCTGAACAAATCATAAAAGCCTCTTACCTCAATTGGACGAAATAACGATGTCGTGAACGAATTTTTAGTACCAGCAGCTTATAGGTACCTCAGACCTCTTTACACGAACCTTTTAATGGCTACATTTAATATCATTTTTTATTTATTTGGTGTAGTTTTCAACGTTATATCTTGTAGTACTTAGTTTTATAAACTTTAATTTATAATGACAACAGATGAACTGACTAAAGATGATGTGATGTAGATGGATTTGAGAAGGTTTTGAGTAAGTAATTGACCTGAAAACAATGTGGAAAGACTATCTGTTAAAGTCAATTGGTGCCTATGGATGCAGGTTATTTCTAGAATTCTAGGGTTGTCACCCGTACTTTATAATAAAGTATTGTACGTTATATAAGGTAATTGTACTCTATACTTTATAAGAATAATAAAGTACACGAAAATACTTTATTTTTGCAAACTTCTATTAAAGTCGTAAGTATTTTGCGGTAAACTTATCGATTCGATATCGACATTCATCGATTTATGTTGAATCGATTTCGCCACTCGCCAGAGCCACCTAGACTATTTCTAGTAAATATGCAATTGTTTAGTAAAGATACTAAATTAATACAAACTGCAAAAAGCAATAAAAATATATTTTTAAATAAATTATTAAATAAGAATAATTTGTACTTTATTTTTATACTATGTACTTTTTTTTCTTACCTATAATCGTCAATGTACTTTAAATACCCAAAAAAAAGGTGGCAACCCTTGTTACTTCCAACCCGCCGATCTAGAAGTCTCTAGGGTGGTCTATGTTCAGCAGTCAACGTCATACGGTTCATAATAATACATTATATTGATGATGTGTTGGCGAGAAACTACCAACAACTGAGGGTTAAGTAGGAGTTTCTTTATCGTTTAAAGTAATCAAAACGAGACGGCATCCGGCGCTCTGATTGGTTGGTTCATTAGAGCCGGCCAATCACAACGCAGAACGCATACTCGTAACAATTACTTTAAACGAAAAAGAATAAGGAATGGCGAAAGTACTAAGGAATGGCGAAATCAATGGAGCATAAAAGTAATTATATCATGCCAGTTTTCTCCCAAAACATTTAGATTGTCTTATTTTCCGTCTATCACATTCATTTTTACTAAAATTCCGAAATCGGTTATATCCGTAATTAGTGCAGTAATAACTAATTAGGTGTCCCATTATAGCTTTGCTCTATATTCCGTGTTAAAATATATATTTTATTGGCATGTTTACTTTAGCAGTAGCTTTCAAATTAAATAGCGGACTAGCGGTGCAATATTCTAAATGATTTAATCTGATGTAATACTACAATAGCTTGGCCTGCCTCATTGGCAGAGTGGTTGCAAGTGGGACTGCCGAGCAAGGTGTCTCGGGTTCGATTCCCGGGTCGAGCAAAGTATTACTGGGTTTTTCAGTAGTAGCATGGAGTTTGTAAATGTGTATATGGCAGTACGCTCACCCCCTATTACAAGGGACTCGTAACATAAATAGTGAAAAGTAGTTGTGCAGTGGCATTAAGTGCCGTAATGTACATACACCTCTGCCTACCCCTTCAGGGATAAAAGGCATTGTGTTATGTGCTGATAACAAATACAAGCG